TTGGCATCTGTGATCATCATGTTATACTGACAAACTGTAGATCCTTTTGACCAAGAGTTAAATGCTGGAATGATTTGCAAAAGATTCTAATGCTGTTTATGGCACAACCTCTAATGAGCAAAATAACTGAAGGAAATATTTACTAGCCATAATTATATAAACTCTAAAACACAGTGAACATTTTGAAACCATTAACTATTCCAAGAAATCAACACTTCTGTTTTTAAGCTTATATTTGTGTTTCCTGATGTCCATTGCATTCAGCAACTCATTAACTGCACTCATCAGTATTAGAAAGGTATTTGAATTGACTAAGACTTTAATATTCTATCGACCTTTAGTTAAGATAATGTCAAGTAGTTTTTGTAAAAGTGAGTTAAAATTTGACTACTATAACAATGAGGTTGTGAAACTCTGATATGTTAAGTATCAATATGACAAATATGAACTTTTTTGTTAAAAAACTTATGTAGTGAAACTGTAAAAAAATCAGTGCTGCATTTATAGGATCTGTATTGTTTTTGTTCATTTTCTTTTGTAATAGGAATCTTCATAGTAGTACACAGTGATATTCACATGGTGGCAGCAAATACAAGCAAAGATGTTGGCGACCCTCACTATCTAGTTTTCTAAAAGGATTTTAGAACACCACATTAGTTCTTAATTTAGGCTATTCTAGTTTTTGCTTTTTTAATCTAAGTAGATTTAGTTTATTATATACATTCAGAATAAGTCAGTACTATAAAAGCAAAATAAAGTATTTACACATTTTAGGCACAGTTCATAAAATAATTGATATAGTACTTGACATCATAATGAGGAAATTGCTTAAAGACTGAAATGAATATCTAAAGTGATATTCAGTTATAATAAATGGCTATAGATCACAATCTCCTGTCAAATTCTCCTAATAGTAAGATATTCTGCATGTATTTCCTCATATCCTGTTCTCCATACATAAAGAGTAGCTAAAGCTGCTGTTTCTATAGGTATGGATTGTTAACAGTAATTTTTCTTCTGAGACCTGCATCTTGTCATTTTGTTTCTCTGATCAATTGACCACACTTGTGAGATAATCAGCTAAGGTCTATATCTTAATTTTGACAAGTGCATGGGAGTCTTTCTGTGAATCAAATCAGTCAAATAGGAATTAACCTGTGACCTTGATCTCCACACCATGTTTCAGTTAGAATAACTGACTAGCTTGGATATTCAGTAAACATTTGCTGATTTCAAGTTGTTAATATCTTTATTCTTAACATTTTAAATATATAAGATAACTTGGAGTACAATTACTTAAAAATAAATATTCTATACCTTTAAAATAACATCTTAACAAAGACTCCAGGTAGCTGATTACTACTACACTGAAAACATAATAAAGAGAAGTGTTGTTTTTCTCTTATTTTTAATGTAATTTTTATGGTCCTTTTAAGGCAAAATGTTACTCTTTGGGGGATGAGGTAAGTGTCACTTTTCAGTTAATATTATTTTTAATTATTCTATATTATCAATATACTTTGGAGGCATGTTTATTAGAAGCTGAAACAAAATTATTTTAAAGATACTCAAATTTTGTGTTTAGGTATTTATTTCTCATTTACACTATCATTTTCTGCTAAATAGATTTAATAACATCATTTACTGAAATTTTTCCATTAACTCTCAGAGCTCCCACTCCCTATCTTTTCATAAGGTACAATAATGATGTAATTTTTCTTATACTATTTTAGGCTTCCAGGGCCCTCTAGGGTGCCAGCTGCAGGCAGCAGCAGCAAAGTCCAGGGAGCCTCTAATTTAAATAGGAGAAGTCAGAGCTTTAACAGCATTGACAAAAACAAGCCTCCAAATTATGCAAATGGAAATGAAAAAGGTAAGTGTTCACCTGTTACATCATTACAGAACAAGTATAACATATCAGTCTCATAAATTACCCACTAAATCGAATATTTGATCAGTGTTACAGTTTTTGGAATAGGAATGTTATCAGTAGAGTTGTCTTTTATTTTCTAACTATCCCTTCTTAAGTTCTAGCTTTCTTCGAGTATTTTCTAATCTGAAAAACATTTTAAAGAAATAAACTGATTTATTTTAAAGTGATTGATTTCATACAAGTATAAATTCTGTTCCTCAAAAATAATTCCTTCCAGGATGAATATAAAATAGTATTTTCTTATGTATTTTCATGATTTTCTGAAAACTTATCATGAAATCATAAAGCAGTATTAAGTCTGTTTGGATCCTTAGCTTTAATTAATGAAACATAAAGACCATAACTATTTTGGGCAGTTAGGGTTGGCACATTGAAAGTTGAGAAAAAAACAATGGTAGGTATTTATCTTTGGAAGCAGCAGAACACAAAATTATTGTGGCATTGTTTTTCTCCAAACAGAGAAGTTATTTATATTCATCTTATTTTCTTAGAATAGTGTATAATTCAAATACTAAATCATAGTATCACTAGGAAAAAAAGGATATTTAATGAAAATGTGTGTTGAAGGCCAACTATCAATTAACTACATGCCACATGGTTCTCTGTAATGTTCAGAGTCTGCATTTAGAGGGGTTGGCTTGATGCATTTTGTCAGAGTGAGGTATGTACAGTTCACTTATTAATCAAGGGAAAATCCTTTAAGAAATATATACATTTCTATTGTTATAAATTTCTATTTCTATTGTGATAGTGTTTTCAAATCAGCAGAGCTTTATACTTCTCTTTACAATACTTGACCCTACATAGAACCAGACACAAAAAGTCACAAATACATATTATCAGTAGAGGAGATGTCAACTTTGGTTTGACTGATTCAACCATGTAGGATTTATATGTATGCATGCTGAGGATAGGTAACTTCATATTGTTTTAAGTAGAAGATCTAATTAAACAAATTTCTCTTACTCACACTTGAAATAACTTTGGGTTCACTCTTTTTTGAAAGTTTTATCTCCTTCACATTAAAGCAAAAGAAGTCAAGTGTAAATCCCTTGAGAGCACAGCTATTTGTCTTGGTCCTTGCGATGTCCACAGCTCTTAAATTGAATGGAAAAAAAAAAAAGTATATAGTTGAAAGTTAGTAGCTTGATGTTAAAATATAAAGCTTCTGATTGAATATCCTAAGACATATTATTTAAGAATTATAATTTTCCCAAGGAGAGAGAAGATGGCAGTTCCCCATCAGAAAACCAAGCTCTTAGTTTTATGACTTTCCTAGAAAGGGTATTAAAAGTTCACACTAATACTTTCCATTTAGGTTATGAAATTCTAGGGGAAACTAAACATGCATTGAAAAAGAGATGTGTTGAGTTGACTTCCAAGTTGTCAAATTTAGCTTCATGATACCACTGTTATATAATATTTTTGGAAGAAATTACTACTAATAATGAAATGCCCTTAATAACCTCGCACTTGGAAATCATAATGGATCTTAATCTTTGTCATGTGAAATACTATTCCTAAACCTATGTTTCTAATTTTTAAAAGGAAAAAAAAAAATCAGTGATAGACAACCATTAATATATTTGCCATTCTACATCTGTTATGTGTGTGTAGGGAATGATGCAAATTTAGAATATGAGCAATATTTATAGTGACCACAAGGTGGAGACAGATGTCATATATTAGGAGACTGACCTAGCAAAGTGGACTTCCTCAGATACTTATCTTGAAGGAAAGACAAAATTGTTCATGGTGATTTAGCCATTGATTTTAATTCCAACTAATTTAAAATTCTGAGACATTTTAAGTGTGTGATTCACAATTATTTTAATACACTGAATTATGAATTAAATGACTATAAACTGTAAGTAATGATTTAAGTTTAAATTGTATCACAAGTTCTTTGCTTCTAAATTAATCATTGTGCCATTTTATATGGTATTTCCAATGTATTATCTTAGACTCACAGCGACCCCTCCTTGGGTTTCCAAGGCGATATCTCTACAGAAGTAGATTGCCCAGGCTTCCTTCTGAGGAGTGGCTGGTGGGTTTGAACCATTAGCCTTCTGGTTAGCAGTCAAATGCCTTAGGCACTACACCACCAGAGCTCTTTGAATCTTAAATTATGAGAGCATAAAAAGTTTATAATTTGTTATTTTGAATTTTCAAAATAGTCATTTTTGATAAAAAATGTTTGATTCAACTTTTTGTTAGTTTGTTTTTCTTTAAGATTTGTACTCGCAGCATCATTTAATTAAAAATGTGAGATCTGTCTGCTGGCAATTTGATCTCTGTCACGATCTAGTTTGTATACACATCCTGGATATGAAGAATTGAGTTGCAAATTAAACAACAATTTTCAGAGTTTACAGTATTGAAAGCACAGATTTAAGAAGTACTAGCTTGAGTAAGCTGATTCTTACATTGTCTTTGGTTATTAGAAATCGGTAACATTTCAGTTTAATAAATTATTAAGTTCTTGAAGGTTTAACCAATTCATCTGTAATTTGCTCCCTGGCTGCTTCTAATCGGAAATGTACTTTCTACTTTCCTTAACAAGTCTTAGGTGAAAAGGGGGAGCTGTGGTAGCATAGTGCCTAAGGCACTTGACTACTAAGCAGAAGGCTGATGATTCAAACCCACCAGCCACTCCTCAGAAGAAAGGTTGGGCAATCTACTTTCGTAGTGATATCGCCTCAGAAACCCAAGGATAGGTCGCTATGAGTCAGCCCGACTCGACGGCACATAACAACAACAACAACAATAGGTGAAAAGGAGCTATGTCAATCAATTTAGGACTCTCTAGAATTTCTGATAGACAGTAAAATATGAATTGAATCACAACTAAAATAGTTTTACTTCACAATAATAAAATTAAAAAAAAACTATTATCACTGCAATAACTTTTCACATGTATTTTTTAAAGAATACCTTATTTGCAAATTGTGAGACTTAACTAATAAAAAGAAAACAGTAGAGAATCACAAACCATGCTTCAGGAATAAATCTAGTATTGTTTTTATAATACTGCAATTCACAATAGAGTGTGATCATTTCACCAAATGAATTAAAAGAATTAAAATGAATTAAAAGATCTGTAAATGTTATCATAGATTATCACTTACCGGGAAGGCTGAAATAGAAACATTGGCATTCTATCACACCATCAGCCATTCTATTAAAGTGGATTGTGGGGGCAAATTTCTCAGAACAAATGATGAAATGAAAACAGCAACCATTATAGAGAAATATTTCTTTTGAGAGTTCTTCAGTTTCTTCTTTCAGTGACCTGACGTTCAGAAACTGACAGTGAATATGTTCTGACACCAGCATTTATTAATTTTTCCATACACCCTATGAGAGTATTCCAGACAGATAAATGCTGTAAAGAAAAGCAAATACCTGTTTACTGTGCTAGAAATTGGGAGCTTTGATGGCATAGTGCCTAAGGCATTTGACTGCTAGCCAGAAGCCTGGCATTTCAAACCCACCAGTCACTCATTGGAAAGATGATTGGGCGATCTACTTCCATGGAGATACTGCCTCAGAAACCCAAGCAAGGGTCGCAATGAGTGGGAATCAACTTGATGGCAGTGAGTTTGATTTGGTTTGGTACTAGAAATCAAGGACCACAAGAAAACCTTGCCATGGTTCACTCAGGCATATGCTTTATATGCTTGTAATAAATTATTTTCATAAGCAAATCACAGTTGTTTTATAAAATCTAGGTAATATGTCTTATATATGCTAGACAGTTTGGTATTATAAGGATTGTCAATATCTCTACCTTTATTTGGAATCCAGTTTCTGAATTACTTTGTGAAAACACGAGCCTAGACAGGATCCATTAGTGGAGAGCTGTTTTTCCATGTTACTAAGAAACAAGCCCTTGTACCAGAGAACATGCTTCCATCTTGTTACTGTTTCTCCCACATGATCTATATATTGTACTGAGATCTCTAAGGAGGAGGAGGTTTCCTTTTTTACTTTGTGATTCTGATCAAGTGGTGTGGAAGCCTCTCTGTTTACACTTTTAACGTAGAATTAGTAGAATTGATGCCAATAATTTAGCAGCATTTTAGTCACACTTTATAGTAAACTAAGTTTTAATGTGAAGTTTGCATTAGTGACAATTATTGCTGCTCATTATCAGATAAAACATAGATATCTAGCTATTCAGCACCTTCTTGGTTTTATTTATTTTGTTTCTCTGGAATTGCTTTAATGTCAAGGACCTACACTGTTTTTTTGTTTTATTTTTTGAGGGGAAAATGCATGTGCTTAGTTATTATATTACTTTCTATGACTTAATTATGTACTTACCTTTGACTTTTTGCTTCACTCCTTCAGTACTTCTATGAGCTCAAAATATAATGTAAATGTGTCATAATATTAGAATCATTTTATGAATTTTCATGTTGTCATATAATTAGGTACTTATATCAGGCCAGCTCACTGCCATTGAGTCCATTCCAACTCATAGTGACCCTATAGGACAGAGTAGAATTTCTCCATAGGCTTTCCAAAGTTGTAAATCTTTACAGAAGCAGAGTACTTCATCATCTTCCTGCAGAGTAGCTGGTGGGTTCGAATCATTGACCTTTTGGTTAACAGTTGAATGCTTAACCACCGCACTACCAGATCTCCTCATTTATCATGCAGTATAGGAAGGAAAATTGGGCAATCTACTTCCATAGTGATACTGCCTTGGAAATTTGACGGCAATTAATTATATATATATATAGAGAGAGAGAGAGAGTTATAGAGTTATATATATAGTTATATATATTTGTTGTTGTTGTTGTTTGTCGTTGAGTCAGCCCCGACTCATAGCAACCCCTCCTTGGGTTTCCAAGGCAGTATCACTACGGAAGTAGAATTGCCCAACCTTCCTTATATGTATATATATGTATATATATATAGTTATATATATATAA